GCATCTAATGTATGTACTGTAAGCAACTGGCTTAGCAAGAAATGCTACAGTGCAGTGAATAGTCATTTTAGAGAAACATGAACATTGTACCCTATAGCTCAGATATTTATACAAAGAGTAGATCACTACCCTTGACACATCACCAGCACAAGTGGGTGTTTCAGATCTGCCGACTACTATAAGTATATATATGCACTGTATGTTTTAATTAAAAGAAACCCATATAAACACAGGCTGAACTAACACTTTCACAAAAATGACCAGGACCTACAATCAACTAGACTATGAACCCATAAACATGCTGGCATCTCTGTGGGGCTGTACTTTGTGCTAAAAGCCAACATCAGCATGAAAACATGATGATAAACAGGTGTTGTTTAGGTTATCTTTGTGGCAACTGTTTTTTAAATAGCACTAAACACAAAGTAGAGCTGAGGCTAATGGGAATTTCATAAGTCAGAACACTGGAACTAGCTTGGCTAAAAACAGGAAACCTTTTTTGGACTCTGGATTACAGTGTATTATACAGTGTGTTTACACAGTATTTTGTGAAAGTCTTACCCTGATGCCGAGCTCTACGTTTTCACCTCCATAGATTTTCATTCCATCATCAAGGCTTCCTATCTCTCCAAAGAAAATGCGATCAGCTACAACAGTTCCCATGACATAGGGGCTCCTGAGGACACAATTTACCAATTTACAATAAATTAAAATGCATTTTAGATTTTGCAGTAATTAAGAGTAGTTAAAAGGTCAGCTACCAGTTAAGTGTACGTTCTGCATGGAAAGTTTTCAGACCATGCCAAGTTTTCCACTGTTTCAGACTCATCTTTAAATGATTGAATTCAGTCTCTTTCAGGTCTATTCAGAGATGTTCTATTGGGTTCAGGTCTGGACTCTGACTGGCCACTCTAAGGACTTTCACAGAGTTTTCCTGAAGTTGTTGTCTTGATGAAATGTAAACCTTCGCCCCAGCCTCATATCTTGAGCACTCTGGAGAAGGTATTCATTCAAAGTTGCTTTATATTTTTCTGCATCAATCCTTCCCTCTATTCTGACTAGTCTCCCAGAAAAACCTCCCAGCAGGATGCTGCCACCACCAAATCTCTTCCATCTGAGAATGATGGAGTCTATTGTGCTCTTGGGCATGTTCAGTGCTGCAGAACGTTCCATCCCCAGATCTGTGTCTTGACACAATCCTGTCTGGCAGGTCTGTGGACAGTCCTCTTGACCTCATGGCTTTGTTTTTCACTCTAACATAATTTCCTAATTATATTCAATGCACAATTAGGCACAGGTGGACTCTAAATGCTGTAGCAGCCTCACAGTGACCACTGATAGGAGTAGGAAGCACCAGAACTCGTCAATGTCATAACAAAGGGTCTGAATACTGATGTAAATGGGGTATTTCTTATATTTTTGATACATTTACAAAACACCCCAAAAACCAGTTTTCACTTTATCATTGTGGAGTACTGTGTATAAATTGATGAGGAAAAAAATGTACATTAATCAGTTTTAGGAGTATGAAACATAACAAAATGTGGAAAACTTGAAAGGGTCTAAAAAGTTTCCGTACTGCATGTATTTGTGAATTTGGCACAGGATTTGCAATATGTGAATATTTTGGCACCAAGGCTGTAGTCTGGATTTTTCAAAAAACTGAGGTGTCCATCTTTGTTTCATCCTGTTAACTGTTTACAAATTAAAATATTTGCAAGTTTTGTTTCACTAGCTTACTTGTCTGGAACTCAATGACTCCTTGCAACTAAACTAACAACTGTCTCTACTTCCCTTTACAGTAAATACCACCATTTTATATGCTTTCCAGGAAGTGACCTAGGCAAATTAGTAGGGAATTATGGACCTGTAAACCAACACCACCTTTTAAAAAGAGCAGTTTTAAGTCAAAAGAAAAACAGATAAGTAGGGATGGACAACCTGAAAACATAACACCTCCTCTGGGTACAGCTGTAGCCGGCACATTCAAATCCCTCACTTTTACCGCCACTGATCTGTAGGAGAGATGTGCCTATTAGCTTACACTCTGGACTATTCCTGAACCAAACAGGTATCACAGAGCAAGAAAACTGTTTGTGAGATCAATTTTAGGAGGTCAAAACATTAAGCAATCCAAAAGTTGTTGATATACTTACAGTATAGTAGCCAATTCAGTTCACTGTTGTTTTTACATTTTATTTCATATATTAATATGTACATAATATACAATGTTTGCACACAATTGGAAAAATGTGAGAAAATGTTCCAATAAGAGAGAAACATTAATTGATTTCAGCCATCAAAGTCAACAGGGGAAAACCCCCTGACTATTACATGACATTTCTACTTTACAGTGCCAATCAAGAAAAAAAGTATTTACAAGCATCTCTTAAAAATAAGTGATAAAGCTAAATGAGAACTAGTACTGTACTTCACCGACACATAGAGGGGCATCTGCAAACTGGAGATCACTACACTCAGTGACTCGCAACCCCAGGGTGAAGAGGTTTAACTCGAACAAGACGGGACAGTCCAAGTCGCAGACCCTGCCCTGGAGACTTCACTGCAGGACTCTGGGACAGTCTGGGACTTCTACCAATTTGACCTGGACAGAAAACAATAATAAAAGGTCACTGTTCAATTTACTGACACATACTGTAAATGGCTCTTAAAATAAAATGTACATTTACTTGTTCACTTTCACTGTACCTGGCGGGTTCCACTTGGGTATTCTGCCTCCTGCTGGGCTCTCAGATGCTGCAGGTTTAGACATGCTAACTGTGGAGGACGAAGCAGGTCTTCTGGGTGCAAGTTTAGCTGCTGTGGGACTTCTCACTGGTGTGGAAGCTGCCGGGACAAAGTAGTTCTCAAATCAGTGACTGCATGAAATTACAGTAACAGCTGGGGGGGGGCAAAATTAAATGGAAACTTACCCAAAACTGCACCATCCACGCTGCAGTTGGACAGGTGCAGTGAAGATGGATCTGTATTGTCATCTACTGGAAGCTGAACACTGGAATTTCCTAGACAATTTTTATCAAAAATACAAGTAAAAAAAAAAAAAAGAAAAGAAAAGAAAGAAAAAAACATATATAAAATACTCATGTATAACAGTGTGCATATAAATTTACATTATCCAGGGCACAACACACCTTTACTGATAGGAGAACCGTCCTTTATGTCGCCTGTATTATTGAGCAGTGAAAGTGTAATGGCCGCCTCCAGATGTCGTTCATATAAAGTGTTATCTAACAGCCTGCTGTAGACAAACATTTAATTTCACAAATCATTCAAGATTAGACTGATTCAAGCTGTGTTGCCTGAATGTTAGATCCTCCTCAGACACTAAAACAGACATCAATTTATATTTTTCAGAACTTCTTTGAAAAACCTAATGAAAAAGGAAGAGTGGTCATCATCATCTTAGTCATTTTGTTATGTACATGTCACATTCATTTACCTGTTCTTTTGGCTCAGTGTGGGCTGTGGATCTGTCTCTTGATTGAAGGGCTTGCTTGATGATTTCTTGCATTCCTGTTGTTTCACATCTTCCCTGGCCTTTTTGCTAGGTGGAGCCTTTATACAAGCAAAATCCTCATCTGTCACAACATAAAGGCAAAACATGGAGATATATTGGTAGTGAGAGAAGAATGAATCTATGCGTACAGTTTTCTATCAATGAGCACTTCAAATCCCCTGAAAATTAGCAAGAATTACTGGCACCATTTTAGAAATACTTAAACCTCTCCTATCTCTAATGAGGACTTCAGTGTGGTTATACTGAGTCTACCCACAGAGTCAGAATGGTGGGCAATAATAATACTGACTGATGTGAAACCTCTATCTACTGGATTTGGTTGGGTGTCTGGTTAGTGTTGACAAAATTAATGTAGAGAACAAGACAATAATTTGAATTTGTGAGTTACAAGATAACCAAGAGTCCTCAACATGACAAAGAAAATTACTCTTTTAATTTACTTTTTAAAAACAGCAGTGTGTGGCTCCAGCATTTCATTATACAGAATGGCCTGATAGATATCCTCAAGTATGTGAACACAGTTATTAACAGAGTTGTTACTAGTGCTAAAATGTTAATTTGGTTATGTCTTGTACACTGCATTTGCAGATGCTTCTTAGATGCAAGAAGCACATGGAAATTCACACACTATATCAGGGACAGTCAGTTTTTGAATAATAGAATTTGGAAACATTACTTAGTTTACTTAATTTCATATTTAAGAGATCACAAGCACATTAAAATAGAAATTTTTATAATAAATCTTCTGAATAAACAGCTGCAATGTCTAACCAAATTTTGTGAAATGCCTTTAGAGACCAGTTATTACAGCAACCAAAATAAGATATGAATCTTTATTAGTCCCACAATGAGGAAATTCACAAAACTACAACAGCAAAGGGCACTCAGTGCTAAGAACAGAAACACACAAGGTAAACAATTTAAATACAATAAAAAGTAAAATAATACTGCATCAGAGCACTTCGCTCTCAGAGTGCAGGTCTACTTGTGGTTCCTAGAGTTCACAGAAGTAGAATGGGAGGCAGAGCCTTTAGCTATCAAGCTCCTCTCCTATGGAACCAACTCCTAGTCTCAGTTCGGGAAGCGGACACCCTCTCTACCGTTAAGATTACACTTAAGACTTTCCTTTTTGATAAAGCCTATGTTTAGGGCTGGATCAGGTGGCCCTGAGCCTTCCCTTAGTTATACTGCTATAGGCCTAGGCTGCTGGGGGTCTTTCCATTATACTCTGAGCGCCTCCATTCCTCTCTCTCCATGCATCTATATGCCACCATTACGCGTCACTAACTGTGTGTCTGCTCTCTCTCGCAGAGTGTGACTCTCTCCCCCTGTACCTTTCTGCAGGTAGCCCTGGGTGTGGAGCTGTATGTTTTTGGTAAGCATTCACTAGCCACATCAACCTGCCCAGTGTTTGATTGTTCGTTGTTGTGTCTTGTTGCTTTTCTTTTCTTCTCCTCTATCCACTCACCAATAGCCGGGGTCTGTCGGAGGTTTCTTCTGTTAAAGGGAGTTTTTCCTCCCCACTGTCGCCAAGTGCTTGCTCAAGGGGGATTTGTTGGGTTTTCCTCTATAATAATAATAATAAGGTCTAGACCTTACTTTGTCAATTGCCTTGAAATGACTTTTGTTGTGATTTAGCGCTATACAAATACACCTGAATTGAATAGAATATTGCACACTGGTATGCTGAGTAGTTAGTTGGGTGGGACTACTGGGAGCAACGCTGGTTGTACAAAGCAACAAGACCACAGAAACAGAACTGTATTTCTATGATTTAGTCTATGTGGGGAGGCCTTTAACTCACCCTCATCAAAGTCCTTGGCTTCACAGTAGTTCACAACCTTCGTCTTCCTGCATCAGTAAAACATCGTGTTCACATTCAAAACAGCATGTAAACAGAGATCATGGATTAGAGTGGAGACAAACAATTTACCAACCTTGATGGTCGGTCCATTGCTGGTGAAATAAAATTTGCTTTTAATTTAGCTAACAATAGCCACGCTAACTTTAGATCACCTGCCAAGTCAACTGTCTATAGCAGAAAACACAAGCCGTTTGCTAGCCCAACCCCAATCACCATGTGAGCCTGCAAACGCGCTAAGTAGCATAACTCGACAGAGCACCGGCAAAGCTAACATAGGCTAGCTTCGGGTAACCTGTCTGTCCATTCCTTCCTCCAGTAAAATGTGTATTAAAATTAACCGAGACGTTAAAATGGCAAATTAATGTTACGTTGGTTAGAAAACACAGTCAAAGAAACGCCTCTCCTTCACTTTCAACCAGCCCGCCTGAACCAAAGGGAAGTGACGTACTCACTAATCGACGAATAACGGAAGCTGATTCGTTTATTACGTCACCTTTTTTAAATAAACTTTATTGCAAATGTGTTAAAAGCAAACCCAGCTTCCTATATTTTCTAATGACGTGGCCTATTACATAAAGACTATGTCCTCTTCTGACAATGCAAAATCTTTGAAAGCTTGTATGCTTTGTCACAAATATCAGCTTTTTATTAGGAATATGTAGATTTCCCTTTATTTAATTCATCTAGTTAATTGTTATAGTTTTTACCCTTATATACAACCTTCGTCTTCCTGCATCAGTAAAACATCGTGTTCACATTCAAAACAGCACGGTTCTAAAATAACTGAATAGATAGATAGATAGATAGATAGGTAGGTAGGTAGATCCATAGTACTAATTTTACTACTAATCATTTTCTGGTAAAACAGAACAGAGGCAGGTTCAGACCACCAAAGGGTGACAAATATCAGCTGATATATTACAATATATATATATTTATATTTTAGATTTATTTTTAAACTCAAAAATTAATATCAGTATCTGCCTTAATATTACATCAAACATAAAATAGTTTTATTTCATATATCAAACTAAACTTATGCTTTTTGTTCTTCAGAATAAATATTTTCCTGCCATTTTGAGACACGGCAAGCCAGTGGGAGTTTAAAGAAGTTATAAAAGTCTAAACTCTAGTCTAGTCTAAAATAGTCATGCTACATCTATAGTATCAAGCTGCCAAATTTAAGTTTATGTGTAGGTGTGTCTGGGATCAGACTGAAAAACTAAACATACTTTAAAAATATGTGAGGAGGTTTGGATGTTTTAAAAAAATGCATTTTCATTATTCAAACGACAGTGTAATAATAGGTCAAAACAGTATATTATGGATATACTTGTAGATAGAGTATATCAAATGACAACTATTAGGCATATATTTAAAATCAGTGTGCATGCACATGCACCTTTCTAGGGAGTTTTCAAACTAATTCCAAACTATATTCTGATATTAATGGAAATGCAGTGTTTGTTCAATTTGGATTCTTGGAGTGGCTCTAATAAAGATATGACCATTGCACTGCACATCATATTTTAGCATCATCTTTTTAAATGGACCAAGCTGGTAAAATGATGAAAAAACAACAGATATATTGACTTTGTAAAGACTCTCAATGCCGCTGGTGGAGTTCAGTCATGCAGCCAACACTCCAGCAGATGGCAGTACAATCCTGAAGCCTCCAGAACTCAGATCACAGAGGTACAAGCGTCTGACCAGCTGAGTGACATGAACCTGACATGTCCTCAGCCACCCAGTCACCCACACTCAGGGCGGAAGCAATCACAGCTGTCTCTGAAGTGCACTAAAAGGGAAATCACACTGTTTTTACTGCACATCTAAGAAAGCAGCAGTCATTTTCCACTTTGTGAGTGGGTGGCTGTCAGCTGTGGTCTGTCACAGAGTGGGCCTCGACGAGACGTTTAGGGATGTGACCGTCCATGTCTTGGTATCCAAACAAGGAAGGAAGACGTGTAGTTCTGGGGCTAAAGGGCTTTGTGGTCGCACATTCCTAAACTCCTCCAGTGCTGCCTACAACCATGACCAAAATATCAGATCCAGTCATGCAAACACTGCAGCCACAACATCATGCTTCGATTCACACATATAGATATTTACATTGTGTTACATAAAATATTACTGCAGCACTGGTATAAACAGGTAATCACCTGATTCATCAAAATCCATCTTTGCTATGTGTAAGGTCCCATTTATCTGTCACTTCTCCATAAATACATCTATTCTTAACTACAGGAAATCATTTATATTTATGTTTTTGGAGTGAAAATTACACAGTCTCCACTGCTGTACTATATCTTCCCAAACAAAGTCACAAGACATGGGGCTGAACAGAAAGTAGGACACATATTCTTTATTTAACTACATGAAGAAATGCCCTCTTAGATTATGACTCTGGTAATAGTCATGTGCTGTAAACTGTCTTGAGTT